GTCTCACTCTGTCGCCCAGACTGGAGTGCAGCGGCCGCTCCTGGCCACCACAGCCTCGACTTGCTGGGCTCCGGCGATCCTTCCGCCTCAGCCTTCCAAGGAGCTGGAACTACCGGCACATGCTACCACGCCTGGCTAATTTTTGATTTATTGTAGAGATGAGGTCTCACCAAGTTGCCCAGGCGGGTCTCGAAACCGCGTGCTCAGGCAATCCTCTCACCTCAGCCTCCCAAGGCACGGGATTACAGGCTGAGCCACCGAGCCCGGCTTATTGTAATATTTCAATAGCTGTATTTTAAATAAATTGCCTTCCCAGGCTGGGTGCGGTGGCTCACACCTATAATTCCAGCATTTTCGGAGGCTGAGGTGAGAGGATTGCCTGAGCCTAGGGGTTCAAGACCAGCCTGGGCAAATTGGTGAGACCTCACCTCTACAGTAAATTTAAAAAATTAGCTGGGTGTGGTGGCGTGCACCTATGGTTCCAGCTACTTGGAAGACTGAGGTGGAAGGATCGCCTGAGCCCAGCAGGTGGAGGCTGCGGTGGCTGTGAGTGTGCTTAACTTATTCAAATAAATAAATTGCCTTCCCTTATAGTACCACATATTTTATTTTATGCATTCAAAAATGTTCTCAGCTGAGAGTGGTGGCTCACACTTGTAATCCTAGCACTTTGGGAGGCAGAGGTGAGAGGATTGCTTGAACCCTTGAGTTCAAGACCAGTCTGGGCAACATGGGTGAGACCTCATCTCTAGAAAAAATAAAAAAATTAGCTGAGTGTGGCAGTGTGTACCTGTAGTCACAGCTGCTCAGGAGGCTGAAGGGGAAGGATTTCCTGAGTCCAGTAGGTTCGAGACTGTGGCAAGCTGTGAATGTGCCTCTGTACTCTAGCCTGGGCAACAACAACAACAGCAACAAAGTTCTGAGATGAGGGCCACAGGCTTCCCTCATGGCCACAATAGTTGTGGCACAGAAAAGGGTTAGGAAACACAAAAAAGAGAGTACCCAGGGGAGAGGCCACTTTATTTGATTATTATTTTTTACTATGCAAACTTTAGACATATAGCCAAAGGAGACCCAATGGTTCAAAGAAGCCCCATGTGCCCACCCCCAGCATGATTTACTGACTGAGTCCTGGCCAATCTCCTTTCTTCTGTGACCCAACCTTTCCCCTCATTCTCATTTGCTTAAGAAGCTCATCTTGCATCCTGTAATCCCAGCATTTTGGGAGGCTGAGGTGAGTGGATTGCCTGAGCCTGCAGTTTCGAGACCAACCCAGGTCAGATCTCGTCTCTACAATAAAAAATCAAAAATTAGCCGGGTGTGGTAGCATGTGACTGTAGTTTCGGCTACTTGGAAGGCTGAGGCAGAAGGATTGCTGGAGCCTAGCAAGTTGATGCTGGGATGGCTGTGAGTGTGCCAGCCTGGGCAACGGAGTGAGACTTCAACTCAAAAAAAAAAAAAAAAAGAAGAAGAAGCAGCTCATCTTGGACATTTTACTACTTTATGCAAAACTATTTCAGTAGAAACGAAACTCTATCTTCTTTAAAAAAAAAATCATATGCTGGACGTGGTGGCTCAAGCCTATAATCCCAGCACTTTGGGAGGCCGAAGTGAGAGAATTGCCTGAGTCCAGGGGTTCGAGACCAGCCCCTTGCCTGAGTTCAGGGGTTCGAGACCAGCAACTTGGTGAGAACTTGTCTCTACAATAAACCAAAAAATTAGCTGGGCATAGTGGTGTGTGTCTGTAGTTTCAGCTTCTTGGAAGGCTGAGGCAGAAGGATTGCCTGAGCCCAGCAGGTCAAGGCTGCCGTGGCTGTGAGCGTACCACTGCACTCCAGCCTGGGCGACAGAGTGAGATTCCAACTCAAAAGAAAAAAAAAATCACAGTACAGTTGTCTTTAAATGCTTGAGGGCAGCCGGATTGGCTGGGGTGGCCCAGGAATGCCTCTCTGGAAGGAGACACTGCATCCAGGCAGAGGCAGAACAGGCCCTCCTGTGGAAGAGTGTTGCAGGCAGAGGGACTGTCTGGGGTGCCCAGGAGCCTGGCTTGCAGTGGCTGGGATGTAAAGTGTCGGGAGAGTAGGTTGAGAGAGACCAGTGGTGCTGGGCCCCTGGTGGGGGAGGACTTTACTGCAGGTGTCATGGAAGTACGGGGGGGGTGTGTGTGTGTGTGTGAGCAGGGCTGGAATCCAATCTGACAGCAATTTTCTTTTTTTTCTTGAGTTGGAGTCTCACTCTGTCGCCCAGACTGGAGTGCAGTGGCCGCTCCCGGCCACCACAGCCTCGACCTGCTGGGCTCCGGCGATCCTTCCGCCTCAGCCTTCCAAGTAGCCAGAATTACAGGCATGTGCTACCACGCCTGGCTGATTTTTTGATTTATTGTGGAGATGAGGGCTCTCCAAGTTGCCCAGGCGGGTCTCGAACCCGTGGGCTCAGGCAATCCACTCACCTCAGCCTCCCAAAGGCGGAGATTACAGGCTGAGTCACCGAGCCCATGACTGCAATTTTCTAAGACTTCTCTCACCACCTGCGGAGAGCAGGTGTGGTGCCTGGACTCGAGACAGCTCAGACAGAAGCCCTTCCTGACCTGTTTCCTCTTCTCTTTCCACAGGGAATGGTTTTTGAGAAACTGAGAATCTGTTCTCTGCCGGAATTTGTCCGTTTTATACATGATCTGCAGCCACTAAAGAAAGACCCTGATGTCATTGTCACAGATCTCCACTTTGGGACAATCCCTGTGAAGCTGTACCAGCCTAAGGCATCCACCTGCACCCCCAGGCCTGGTGTTGTGTTCTACCACGGTGGTGGGGCCATCATTGGGAGCTTGGGTAAGAGTGCTTTCCTCCAGCTTCCCAAAGGGTGGTAATGCCCACTTAAAATAACTTTAAAAAAAATCATCTTTCTGGGGCTTAAAGTCTGCTATTATGACCAGGGAGCACCAGGATGGTTAATGGTTTCCAGATCATTCAGGTGGCAAAAATATGGAATATATACCCTCACTTAAATGCCAGTAAGGGTGCTATCACATAAGTAAGCCTCCTATAATGTAAGGATACTGTAAATGCATTCTTACTATACTTATATGTATGCACATGTAATATATACATCAATATATACATGTATACTATATGTATTGAAGTGAAACTCACATAACATAAAATCAACCATTTAAAAGTGGCCTTGAGTGGCATGTAGTGCATGTTGTACAACCACCAACTCTTTGTAGTTGGAAATAAGGATATTTTAAATGAAAATTATTAAAATACATCATTTTCCTTCACATCAGGTATTGCCTAGGACAATCTGAAAAAAACTAGTGAGAAAAAACTCAAAATTGAGACAATTTTGTTATCTTAATTTTTCTGTGAATTGGGAGGAAACGCATCTTTATTTGGTTTCAGTAATGCTTTCAGTGTGTGGAATGCCAGGGTCCCAATGTAGCAGGTTTGAGAATAAGGGATTTACTGCAAAGTGGTTTAGGCTTGGTCTGTATGAGAATGATAGTAACAGCCAATGTCTATTAATTGATATTTATTAATATTTGTATGGCAGACACTGTGGGATCCCTGTATTGCATCATCTCATTGAAACCTCCAACACCCCATGAGGTAGATAGCATCATTATCCTCCTTTCACTGATGAGGAAATCAAGCTTCAGAGAGGTTAAGTGACTTTTGGGCACTATCTTAGCTCAAGCAAAGAGGAGGCAAATTGGGATTTGGACTCTGATCTGTCTGAATCCAGAGCTCACACCCTAAACCACTGTGTTCAATTTATATAGTATATATATGTATATTATATGTATTGAAGTGAAACTCACATGACATAAAATCCACCATCTAAAAGTAGCCTTAGCTGGGCTCAGTGACTCAGCCTGTAATCCCGTGCTTTGGGAGGCTGAGGTGAGTGGATTGCCTGAGCCCACGGGTTTGAGACCCACCTGGGCAACTTGGCGAGACCTCATCTCTACAATAAATAAAAAAATCAGCTGGGTGTGGTAGCGTGCGCCTGTAGTTCCAGCTACTTGGAAGGCTGAGGTGGAAGGATCGCTGGAGCCCAGCAGGTCGAGGCTGCAGTGGCTGGAAGCGGACACTGCACTCCAGTCTGGGTTACAGAGTGAGACTCCAACTCAAAAAAAAAAAAAGTAGCCTTGAGTGGCATGTAGTAGCCAAACAACCTCACAGATATTTTTAATGAACTGCAGAGTCGACCTGGGATTGGGGTGAGGGTGAGTGGGCATCTTGGAGAAAGTTGTTCAGGCAACCCCATGAAGGAAAATCATTGAGAAGGTGACAGGAATTTGTCTCTACTAGAGTCAACCTAAGTGCTCTGTCTGTAGGAAGAAGTCAACGACAATGGCAGGCAAAGAAAAACTTCCTAGTGAGTGTTGAGACAGTTTTGTTTTCAGCTAGGCACAATGGCTCATGCCTGGAATCCCAGCACTTTGGGAGGCCGAGGCAGGAGGAGTATTTAAGGCCAGGAGTTTGATACTAGCCTAGGCAGTATAGCAAGACCTCATCTCTAAAATAAATTGATAACTAAACAAACAAATAAATTATATATATATATATATTTTTATTTTCTAGTAACCCACCATCGTGTATGCTGTTATTTGTCCAAAGCAAGTGATTCTGTGGTTCTGTCAGTTGGGTGAGTAAAGGGGAGATGAGAAAGGTACCAGGGAGCCAAGTTCTGATTTGGTGGGAAGTAGGAACAGAGGGACTTGGAGTTGGAAAAAGGTTGGGAGGAGGAGGAGTCTGTGGAAAGCCAGTGAAGAGAGAAAGGGAGGTGGGGAAGAAGTGAGATCGAGGGACAGAGCATGGGGAACTCCTTCCTCTGTGTGTGTGGCCCTTGGGTAGGTTCTGTGCATGGCTCTTGGAAGCTGGTCAGGAAGAGATCTTTTTTAACTAGGTGAGGCACAGAGCTTTACCGCAGAAAGCTCTATCTATTACCTACCTATCATCTCATTAAGTGTTGTAACTAGCTTTACTTGTTCAGGTTTCAGAAAGGGAAGTTAATGCTAGAAGTTTGGGCTAGGCTGGGCGTGGTGGTTCACACCTATAATTCTAGCACTTTGGGAGGCCAAGGTGAAAGGATTGCCTGAGCCCATGGGTTTGAGACCAGCCTGGCAACTTGACGAGACCCCATCTCTACAATAAATCAGAAATTAGCTGGGTGTGGTGGCACACGCATGTAGTTCTAACTACTTGGAAGGCTGAGACAGAAGGATCACCTTAGCCCAGCAGGTCGAGGCTGCGGTGGCCGTGATAATGTCACTGCACTCCAACCTGGGCGACAGATTGAGACTCTGATTAAAAAAAAAGTTTGAGCTAAAAGATGCTAGATGCAGGTATTTTTGACTCTGCTAGAGTGCTGTGTGTAAACTGTGTGCTTGATTCCTTTTAAGGTACCGCATGTTACCCAAGTATAAGTTTCCAGTGCCGGTAAGTGACTGTATAGTGGCCACCACCCACTTCCTGAAGTCCCTGGATACATATGGGGTAGATCCAGCCCGAGTCACGGTCTGTGGTGACAGTATGGGAGGGGAAATAGCAGTCGTGATTTGTCAACAACTTATGAACAGTCCAGATCTCCCCCGGATCCGGGCTCAGATCTTGGTCTATGCTGCTCTCCAAGCCGTGAATTTCCAGTACCCATCCTATCAGCAGAACAAGAGCGTTCCACTGCTCAGTTGGAGTTTTGCCTTCTATTGTTTGTGTCACTACCTGGATTTCAGCTTTTCCTGGGAAAAAACCCTCTTGAAAGGTGGTCATTTGCCTGACAATCTCTGGGAAAAGTATAGAAAGTGGCTGGGCTCAGAAAATATCCCGGAGAGGTTTAAGAAGAGAGGCTACCGACCCATGCTCCGTGGGTCCCTGAATGAAGACGTGTACCGGAAAACGAGTGTGGTTTGGGATTTGATGTGCACGCCCCTGATTGCAGAAGACGACATCATGTCTCAACTCCCGGAAGCGTGCATTGTGAGCTGTGAGTATGACTTTCTCCGGGACCATTCACTGTTGTACAAGAAGAGGCTGGAAGACCTGGGAGTGCCGGTGACTTGGCATCACATGGAGGATGGTTTTCATGGGGTACTCATGACCTTTGACATGGGTTTCTTGCACTTCCCCTGCTCCACAAGAATTCTGAATGCAATAACCCATTTTATAAAGAGATTGTGACCGTCTTTCTTCCTGGCTGGCACCCCAATGTGGATCCACTGTCATCCAGCCTCTCACAGGGCTCTCTGTTGCTGATTCAGGTGGTGCTGAGTGGGACTAGGGAGAGGGCAGAGGTTGCTGTCTCCTTCCTGGTCTAGGTTCTAGAACCATGCAATACATGCTCCTGATGTTTGGAGGACAGTGGTAGAAGAGACAGGTTTGGGGGTGGGGATAAGACTCTCTGCTGGGAAATTTGAGCCCACAGTTTCTACAATCTTCAGTGGCCATTTTTGAGAGTGAATAGGTATGTAAAGTTTGTTCACAGCTGCCCTGAAATAGAGTTCAGACCTTCCAAGTTGATCCAGACCATGTGTGACACAAGTGTCTGATTGGCTGTTCATTGGATTAATGTAGGACATCACATACAATCTCACAGGGCTGTCCCAGTGTGGCTCAGAGGCAGGAGCTCTGATGTTCTAGGCTGCTGGGTGGTGGTGGTGGTGGAGGAACTATCTCTCACTTGCCTTCTCTTGGGTGCACAGGGACAATTTTCCGGCTTTTATAGGCCAAGATCAAAGTCTGCTGCACAAAAGACCTTGTGCGTACTCTTTACTTGTTTTCAGTTGAATGTGCTGAAATATGGGACAGAGAGGAATTCCACTCGGTGGCTTTTTGATCCATTCACAGCTGACCAGCAGTTGCGTGCTTTTGAGAAATAGGAACCATCTGCTGAAAACACATGCTATGGTGGCCACTCAGCTGTTGGAGAGCACTGAAGTCCAAGGAACAAGGTCCCTTCCGAGGCAAGCCTCTGAGTTGAGGCTGAATAGCTCCCCTGTCCTCCCAGGGTGTGACTTTTCTTGTTGTACCCCAGCCACTGGAGATGGATGGAGGAACATGAGCTGACCTTCTGGAAAGCTGGTTTTTCAATTTACTTTACCTGGGTCCACCAGAAGAATCACTGTCTATGGAAGCTCTAGCCTTATAAAATACCTTTCTTTTTTTTTTTTTTTGGAGTTGGAGTCTCACTCTGTCACCCAGGCTGGAATGCAGTGGTTTGCTCCCTGTCAACCTACTGGGCTCAGGCGATCCTTCCGCCTCAGCCTCTCAAGTGTGCTACCACACTTGACTAATCTTTTTTGGTTTATTGTAGAGACAAGTTCTCACCATGTTGCCCAGGCTGGTCAAAAATACATTTGTTAAATAACAAGATTTGGAAGTCAAAATTACTCAGTGATCTATGGGCTGTAGAATGAATGTTGTGTTAGCAGTCACAAAAATAACATTCTTCTACTTGTATAACTCCATCACAGCTCTTGGGCAAATCAGGTGCATTGCCAATGAGCAGCAAGGTATTGAAAGTAGTCTTTTTTCCTGAGCAGCAGGTCTCAACAGTGGGCTGAAAATATTCAATAAACCTGCTATAAACAGGTATGCTGTCATCCAGGCTTTGCTGTTCCATTTATAGAACACAGGCAAAGTAGAGTTAGCATAATTCTTAAGGGCCCCAGGGTTTTCAGAATGGTAAATGAATATTGGTTCCAACTTAATGTCCTCAGCTGCCTTATACCCTAGCAAGAGAATCAGTCTGTACTTTGAAGCTTTGAAACAAGGCATTGACTGCTTCTCTAGCTAGAAAATTCCTACATAGCATCTTCTTTCAACAGAAGTCTGTTTCATCTATATTGAAACTCTGTTGTTTAGTGTAGTCTCCTTCATCAATGATCTCAGCTGAATCTTCTAGATAACTTGCTGTAGTTTCTCCATCAGAACTTGCTGCTTCACCTTGCACTTTTACTCATAGGTATGGAGGCAGCTTCTTTCCTTAAACCTCAAGAACCAACCTCTGCTAGCTTCAACCCTTTCTTCTGAAGCTTCCTCACCTCTCTCAGCCTTCAAGGAATTGAAGAGAGTTAGGGCCTTGTTCTGGATTAAGCTTTGGCTTAATAAAATGTTGTGACCGATTTGATCATCTATCTAGACCATTAAAGCATTCTACATATTAGCAATAAAGTTATTTCACATTCTGATCATCTGTGTAGTCACTGGAGTAGCACTTTTAATTTCCTTCAACAACTTTTCCTTTGCATTTACAACTTGGCTAACTGTTTGGGGCAAGAGGCCTAGCTTTTTCCTATCTCAGCTTTCAACATACCTTCCTCACTAAGCTTAATCATGTTTATCTTTTGATTTCAAGTGAAAGATATGTGATTCTTCCTTTAATTTGAACACTTAGGGACCTTGGTAGGGTTATTATTTGGCCTGATTTCAATATTGATGTGTCTCAGGGAATAGGGAGGCCCTGGGAGAGGGAGAGAGATGGGGGAACAGCTGGTCAGTGAAGCAGTAAGAACATAATATTTATTGATTAAGTTCCCTGTCTTAAATGGGTGTGGCTCAGGGTGCCCCCAAATAAGGACAATAATAACATCAAAGACCACTGATTACTGATCACAGATAGCCATAACAGATATAACAATAACGGAAAACTTGCAATATTGTGAGAACTACCAAAATGTGACACAGAGACACAAAGTGAGAACATGCTGTTGAAAAAATGGTATTAGTAGACATGCTTGATGCAAGGTTGCCACAAATCTTCAATTTGTAAAAAACAAAATATCTGTGAAGCATAATAAAGTGAAGTGCAATAAAATGAAGCATGCCTGTATTCTTAAACCCATCTTACAGATGAAGAAGCTGAGGCTCAGGAGAGATTAATGACAGCACTGATTTCCTGTCTCTTTCTAGTTGAGCTCAAGGCCAGCTGATTAAATAGATGCCCAAGGTTGTGAGGTTGAACCCACACTGTGCATTCCAACCCTGATCTCCCTGACCACAACCTTTTCTGTGACCCATTAACCCAGAATTGCAGCTCTTTTCTTGCCTATCGTTCAGGATTAAAGTGAAGGGCTCTATTGAGCCATATTATCATATTTGAGTCATTTCCTATCCAGTTAGTTGTCAGCTACTGTCTGATCTGAGTCAGGATGATAAAGTCAAGAATGTTTACTGTCTGGTTTACTTTACTATCTGAATGACTTTGGAATTGGGAACTGCAGGCCCCTCCAGGAATGTATGGCTGAGGTGCCCAGCTGACACCATTCAGGGCAGGTGGCCACCCACACATTCCCCTAAATACTCAGGGAGTATTTTCTCAGTAAACTCCCAGAGCTTTTCTAGGAAGATCTGCCAGTTAGCTCAGGGCAAGCATCCTCTGGCAAAGGACAAGGAATTGCATCCTAATCGCTTTCTTTAGTCAGTAGGTGATTAGGGACAAGATCCTGGGGCAAAGTTGAAAACTTAGCAAAATTTGTCTGTCTCTCTTCTTTCTACTTCCCTCAGATACTCCTTACCTACTCGGGACCTCCCTGCCTTCTGACTCCAAACCTCAGCTCCCTGTTCCCTGTACTCTCTGCTGCAGAGTGACTGCTTTCTCCCTCCTCTTATCCCTCGGCTAGTATGAGGGAGCAGAGGTTAGGTGCAATGACATGCTGCAATGACAGATGACCCCACAGTCTCAGTGGCTTACGACAACAGAGGTTTACTTCTTGCTCATGTTACACATTCCACAGCCCTCACAGGTCAGCTGCAGCCCTGGTCCACATCGTCTGCTCCAAGACCAGGACAATGGAGTGGTCTTTAGTGGAAATAACCCCAGTCTTGTGGTAGAGGGGAAAAATCAACATGGTGAACCACATACTTTCTTTCCCAGCTTCTGCTTAGAGGTGATACTCATTATTTCTGCTCATCTTTCATTGGCCAGAGCAGTTATGTGGTCAAATATGGCATGGCACTGATGGGACAGAGAAACAACCCTCCCCAGAGAGAGACAGTAAGATATTCCTGGACAGTTTTACAGCTCACCACCCTTTCAATCATAATATTTCCACTTCCATTTTATCTTTTTAAAAATTAATTTTCAATGATGTCAGTGATAAACAAATATGTTCTCCTTTTAAACAAAACCTTAAAATATTAGTGATAAGGCTGCAGTTTCTTTTGACCACCCTTCCCTCAATTCTTTCCCTTTTCCTAAATATAACCACTGTTACCTTTTTTGGGAGGGGGAGGTGTAGTCTAATCCTTTAAAGCCTGTTTCTTTTTTTTTTTATTTAATTTTTAAAAAAACTTTAAATATTTTTATTTTAAAGATGTGGGGTACAATTCAGGGTTAGGTCTACAAATGTTCATTATGCAGGCACCCTTGTGAATGAGGTGTGCCTCCCATCCCATGGCAGTTTCCCACTACTGCCAATCTCTTTCTTATAGTATTATGATAGTTGTTCAAGGTTCACTTATGAGTGAGAACATGTGATACTCGGTGCTTTGTTTCTGTGATAGATCCCTCAGTATTATTGCCTCTAAGTCCATCCAAGTTTATAGCCTGTTTCTAGGCATTTATATACACTGATATGTACCCATAGAAAATATAGAGTATTATTTTGTGGTATAACTTTACCATATATTGCTACATAAAATATATTATTCTGTATGTGCTGTCATGAAACGTGTGTTCTTTCACTCAACTATATATTAGAAATCTGTCCTAGACCTAGAACAACTATTGTAATACTATAAGTAAGGGATTGGCAGGAGTGGGAAACTGCCAGGGCAGGGCAGGAGTGGGAGTGGCAATAGTGGGAAACTGCCAGAAGGGGGGACACCTCATCAACTTGCATAATGAACATTTGTATCCCTAATCCTGAATTGTATGCCACATATTTAAAATAAAAATTATTTTAAATAAATAAATAATAAATCTATCCTAGTAAAATTAATCATGGCTTTTAACTATTCCCTACTGATAGACACAACATTGGTCTGTTTCCAGTTTATCAATGTGACAAACAAATTGGTAGTGAGCATTACCACACACACCTGCTTCTATGTGTACAATTCTTTTTGATAGATTCAAGAAGAAGAACTGTTGGCAGGACACATTTTATTTATTTATTTGTTTTTGAATTGGAGCCTCACTCTGCTGTCCAGGCTGGAGTGCAGTGGCATGCTCACGGCCA